TTTTTTTATATAAAATCACCAATGTTTTTGTCGTATATTTTTTGAATTCAGGGGGTGAGAAGAATTATATATTTGTAATAATTTAGTAAACCTAGATTTTATGTGTGTGTGTGTGTGTATGTGTGTGTGTGAAATTTAAATGGTATATAACATAAAAAAATTAAGTTGTTTAAATATTTGATATTGTATATTAAAAAACAATTTAAATGGACATTAATGTAATGATTTTGTGCATGTTTGTACACTGTTGAATTTTAAATGAGAAGCTTGCTTCATGCACATATCTTAATATGGTTACACTAGAGGGATAAACTTCAATCGCTTGAGTCAATTGATCGTGTGACATGTGTAGAGGTTCATAATAAAGATAAATATCCTAGATTTTATGAGTTCGTAACTCAAATGTTGATGCATGATCCATGTAGCATAAATGATCTTAGATCTCTATATATGGAGAATAATAAATTTATGAAACATTTTCCCAAAATATTTCTTGATAAGACATCATTTGATGGGAATAACTACATGATATACAAAAGAAGAACCTTAAAGGTCACCACAATATAATGAAAAAGAATATCGAGTTGGATAATCGAATTGTTGTGACATACAACCCGGTTTCAGGATCAAACAACATTGAACATTGAAATAAATCTAATTCAATCAAATATCTCTTTAAATATGTAAATAAAGATCTAGATAAAGTAACTGTTGCAGTTACCCAATCTAACTTTGGCATTGTTGATATTATGGTATATTATGAAACAAATAAGTATTCTTATTGTCATTACGTATTTGCATGTGAAGCCTCTTGAATAATCCTCTCTTTTGATATACAACAAAGGTAGTGATCAGTATTGAGATTGAATTTTTATAACCCAAGGATAAAATTCGTAACCTTTAGACACCAACAAAAACTAAAAGATGTTGTCGAAGAAATTATAGATAAAGCCTCAATGTTTGAAGCTTGGATGATTTTCAATACAAAATATAATGCGGGATAAAATTTGACGTATGCAAAGAGTTTCGAGAATCTTTTATGTACAACCACAAAGTGCGGAAATAGTTCCAAGGCAACAACGACCGTCAATAGGCAGACTACAATGCGTGCTAACAGAAACTAGAGAGTTATACTACTTGAGAAGTATTAAATGTCTAACAAGGATGTACAAATTATAAGCGCTTGAGGACAGTTAACAATGTTCTATATAATGCATTCAAGGAAGAATGTGAAGCATTGAGGTTATTAACCGATGATAAAGAATTTATTGAAGGTATGAAAGAGGTTGTTAAGTCAAGATGTGAGAATCTGCTAAAAAACCTGTTCCTCACATTATTAGTGACAAGCATGAGTCACCCACTAATTTTTTCCGAAAAATGAGAGATGTAATGAGATTTTTTAATAATAATTTCATAAATGAACCATTCGGAGGGAAAACAGCTATACTCGGAGGTGATTTTACCCAAATTCTTTCAGGTCTACTCATAGCGTAGAGAGAGGAAATTGTGGGTGCTACCACCAATTCTCACAAATGTATTTAAAGAGTATTAAAAGAGTATTTAAGTTCTCATTCTTCATGCCAAACATATTTAGATGTAGTTGTTGAAGACGATTAGATAACAGTTTAAATCTTCTTAATGAAATCAAATGTTAGGGGATTCAAACCACAAAATAGTTTTTAAAAGGGGGTACCGATTATGTTATTGAAGAACATTGACCAAATATATGGATTGTGTAATGGTAAAAGATTAATCGTTAAAGAGATGTGAAAGAACATTATCAATGTAATTGATGTTTCGAGAAATCGCGTTGGAGAAAAAGGTTTACATACCCTGAATAAAATTTGGTATCATCTGATAGAATTCTCAATATAATAGTCTTATGTTTTGCTATGACTATAAACAAAAGTCAATGTCAAANAAGACATGATTAAAAATATTAGTTCTAGATGAAAATAAAAATGCTTACAACGATACAAAAAATGTTGTGTACACTAAAGTCTTTCAAAAAATTTGGAATTAAAAAAGATTTTTTCAGTACACTTTCAATTTCTCAAATATTATATTCTACTTTGTCGTTGTTTTCCATTGATTAAAATTTGTGACAAAAATATATTTACTTGATTCTGGAATAAATATTTCATTGAAAAATTTCAAAATCGACAACAATTTCGTTCGACCCCGTGCATCGCACGGGTCAAAATACTAGTTACAATAAAAAGAATACTCGGTACATTAAGTATAGAGTAATTTTTATTACCTTCGCCCCTAAATATCTATATCATTTTTTATTTTTATAGTCAAAATCGACAAACTTTAATTAATTCAATAAAATTGATCTTAGATTTATTTTATAATTTTTTTCAAAATTTATTTTTATCAAATTAATATAATATATATATTTTATTTAATTATATGTCAAATATTTAAAATGATTAACTGCAAAATCTTAAAATCCTTTAATATAATATTTGAGAGTTGATAGCCTAGAATGAATGATGACAGCAATGAAAAGGCTCCTAAATTGCTTACACACACGCGTACAATTATTAGCGAAAGCTCTTCAGAGAGGCAGGCATTATCGTTCTTCCGACCTTCTTCTTAGCGTTCTTCACGGAAGGAAACTAAAAAAAATTGGATCTTCACGCTCAAAGGAAACTAATTTGATTCAGCCCTGATTCCTCGCTGCGTTGGATTTTCACGGAAGGAAAGAAATCCCAGGTACCGATTCGACTTTCCATTCTTCTTCTTCGGCTACCCCAATTTTACCCTAATTTATTCCGGAAAATTCTTTTTTTCATGAATTGGTGGGTTGATTGATACCAATCTGCTTCCTTCAATTAATTGAAATAATAAAAATCGTGATTCATACCTAATTTATATTCGTATACCCTAATTACATGGGAGAAATCGTATACCTAATTTATATTAGATTAATAGCAATATTCTTTCTTCTTATTGAATGAAGGCGGATGAACGGCAACGGCCAAGGTTGGACGGACGCTGCTCCAGGTAATTTTCCCTTCAATTTTGATGCTCATATTATAATTTGGGGTTCCACTAATAATTGATTCAGAACGTGCAATCCAGTAATTTGTTTTTTGGAATTTTGATTATTTTATGCGAGTATAGTGTTATAGAGAAGATTAATTGTTATTGAAAAGTTCACATATGCAATAATCCAGCATATATTCTCTGTTGAATTTGATTTGAAATCATATTCTTCATAAACTATGTATATTCTCTGTAAAATTATCTCATTAATAAAAAAAGCATTTTATATGTGGAAAATATCATGCAAAGATGAGTTTTTCTGTCTAAATTTGAAAAATAGACATGAGTGTTTTTGAAGGTTACTTATTGATTAGTTACTTTTATAAAAAGAAAAGACATAAATTGGCATAATAGAAATATTAGGAAGAGATGTGATTGGTATGTTTTCTTTTCTATTGTAATCCGTAGGGTGTTCTATTATTTGAAGGTGATGTTTCTCAACACTTTCGATTTCATTGAGTTTAATTTTCTTCTAATTAAGGTTTATTTTACCCTTGCTTTTATGGAATGGACATGGTTTATTTGCTCTCATTATGGGTTGGCAGCTTATGAATACAAGGGTGATCTATTTTATGGAAATATTTGAGTCATCTTGATCAGTTTGGCTATTTGGAAAGTTTAGTTTTTTTGGAGAGGCATTCAGGCTTATCTCTACATGATTTTCAAAGGGACTAGACATTTTTGCTCTTTTACTTTATGTTTTTATTGTATTACTTTGGCATTTATCTCCCTGTTTGCATTGTGAAGTTAGCTGGATGATTGTTTTTAGCCTTCTATGATTCTGGTGGTGTGTCCTATGGCTGATCCTCCTGCATCATCACACACAAAATAATTGCCCTGAGTTGATCTGTTTAGAAATTGAAGTATTGAACTTTGAACTTCCTTTTTATCTTCTTTCTTCAAACAACTATTATGGTTGTAAACGATTGGCAAAAACCTCTGATGCCACATCGTACCACGCCACCATGTTCAAAGTTCAATACTTCAATTTTCTTCTCCGTCCAGGTTATTGGTTAAATGGACAAAGATCTACAAATTAGTGATGTAGAATTTTGAGAAGAGGAGACATGGAGATTAAACCGAGAAGACTAGCAAATTTAAAGAGGATAGAGACAGAACTAGGACATAGTAGAAGTGATCGATGAGGAACGGATGATAACGACAAAGGAGCGATCACTTGGAGCCAAACCAGCGGTGAAACCAAGGGCCGTGATGAAGGCCTAGCCGCTAAATGTTTTCTCGCGGAACCCTTACAAGTACTGGTGCAATCCTTCTCTGTTGTTGGATGCATTACAGATTCTACCGCCATCCATGACCCCGCTGCAGCCAGCAAATTTGTTTCCCACTTGCATTGTATTCATAGTAAGATTCTCTACTTCATTTGAATATCATCCTAAGACAATTTCATCAATTAGTTACAAAGTATGATTTAAGGTTCCAATTTCAGCCCAAGGTTTTGCTTAATCTTAGAAAATATATTTTAGATTTTATACCTCTATGAATAGAAATCTACAGAGTGTGAATTTTGCTAAATTGATTTCATGTATATGTTGTGATAGAAAAAAAGTTCATGAATGTTTGTCTTTAAGTCTTTAAACATTTTTCAACTTAGAGTACTACGAAGTATTAAGTTATTGTTGGCTCTATAAATTATTATATAAAAGTGTTAGTTTATATGTTAAATAAATTTAAAATACTTTCCTAATTCATCAAGCTTTGAAGTTTGCAGAATGTTGTAGAATACCCTTCCTCGAAGCATGAAATCATTTGAGGTAGAAGTTCTCTATTTTACTTTTTATAGTATATTCAATTTGGCTATCCTTACATTACATATATGATCAAAGGTTCTTTTTGTTTTTAATTGTTCCAGGGTGTTTGTTTTTGTAACAAAAATGCCCAAAGAGGTGAAAAATTAGTCCCTAAAGTATGACTCTACATGTTTTAGAAGGTGCTCTAGATCATTAAAAATACTCCGTACTTAACAGGTGTCTTGCTTTTACTTGCAGCATAAATAAGAATTATGTTGAAACTAAGCTTGGGAGAAAAATACGACAGATGGGAGAACTTGCAGGAGTCCTAAATATAATGTAGAAGAAGCCATCAATAAAAAACGAGGTGAAGTTATGCTTATAAAAAAGCCATCAACAATAATCTCTGTCCAGGTATACTTTAAAATGCAGCATACCTGGCTTCACACACTAAAGTCTTTTTGCTAATTTTGTAATTTGTTTTGGTTGTTGCTGGCCGATATGCGATTGCTTAATTGCTTTCTATTCTTCTAGGTATCCTTTAAAGAAGGCTGAGGCATATGCTAAATTGAGAAAGTATACATTCTTTTTCTATTCTTAATTTTAATCTTCATTGTATTTACATTTTGGCATGGTGTTAGCTCCCTGCCACACTCTATCAAGGGACTCGGATGATTTCCAGAAATGGAAACCGGATTAAAGATTAGGTCTTAATTTCCCTTAATTGTTTCTCTGGAATAGGGATTACACAAGTTCGGGCCCTGGATGGACCTTTTTTTCTACATTTGGACCACTTTAAGCATTTACTTTCTGAAAATTTGAATCATTATATGAAGCCTGGATTATATGAAACTTTGATCTATCCTTCTTTCTGAAACTTTGAATCATTATATGAAGCCAACATATTTTAGGTCTTAACATGATCTCTTAAATTAATGTGTACAGATTTTTTCATGTTTATACCCTCATCTATGTGTGCATATATCTGTGTAGATTTTTCCATGTTTATACCTTCATCATTAATTCTGTGTATCGCTATTTAATTAATGACTGATTCCTATTATACCTCCATGTTTATATATGTGCTAATTCAGCTGTGGTTGTGCCCCAATCTTAATTTTTAATTGTATCATGTTTACAACTATATTTAATATTTGAAATTAACCTTTTGCCAGAGACTGTCCAGAGGCTGCTGCCTGGTGTGGTTTGATTGGCTTTTGGGTTTGTTTTTGTTTGTTGTAAGGTGAACTGTACTTGAATGGGGGCTGGACCATGATTGGGTTTGGAAATTTTTGATTTCCGGGCTGCCATCTTCAAACAACAGACCCTCCTGTGGGTTTGATGTTTGCTCGCTGAACTCAAGTTCTTGAGGGATGGGGATGGCACGCATAGGTTGCTGGCAGGCCAACCTTCTCCCTTTTGCATTGGATGATCTTCTTCTGCCTTGGTTTGGTCTACCACTGCCCAGGTCCCTCATGTCTTTGTTTGGTATTCATACTTGGCGTTTTAGGCAGCTCTTGGGCAGCCATACTACTTGGTGTTTGTAGTGCTGATTCATGGGTCTATTGAGGACGTCTCTGGGTGGAAAAGGCCGCTGTGCTACTGGTTTGGGGCTGCCTAAAGTCACTGGAGCCTTGAACCAACCGTGCCTCTTCTTCCTCAGTTGGGAGTTGTTGAACACCTTTGGGTGGGATTACCAGTTGTATTTCTCGCTGCATCCCTAACATTTTTGTTGGGAAGCCACTGTGAGCCCGAGGCTTCAGTGTTCAACACAGTCAAGGGAAGGGTACGATGGACCCCCGAGTGTGTGAAAGTTGAGACTTCTTGGAAACCGTAACCCCTTTGTGTGACTAATGATGCCGGACTGGGTGCTTCTCTCATGTTTTATGACTTCGGGCCTGGTCCACTTGAGTTTGCATGAGCCATTTTCTATTGCCGTCTGTGTTCAGGTTCGGCTGAGTTTACTCTAGCACTTTGGTCTATGGTGAACTCGTGGACTTGGGTCATGGCATCTATTTCTTGAGGGTGAACTTGATGATCGATGTGCACAACTCCTGAAAAGTAACATCACCGTTGTTACTGCGTTTACTGGGGAACCATGGAGTGGAAGCCTCAAAACTACACCTTACTGGAACCTTTTGATGATCCTTTGATGATGACGATCCAGGATGAGGAGGACAAGCCTGTTGATGGTGCTGATCATCTTCCGTGTGATGTACTTTTCTTTTGTGCTTGTGTACTCATGTTTTGTTGATTGGGCGTGCGTGCCTTGGCGTGTGTGCAATTCTTTTTTATTTTATAGGGGTATGCCCCGATGCATTGTATGTTTTACTTCGTGTATGTACATTGTATTGACTCTTGGATATTAATAATTTACATTTTATCCATGAAATTAACCTTTTCCCCTAATTTTATGAGATTAGACGTTATTTTTAGCATCTTGATGTGCACATGGATTCAACCATGAATGAGTAATTGATGTGTTGGTTTAGTCTAAAAAATAAGGGCAAAAACATGTGTTGGTAATTGTTTTTTGTATTTGAAAAACATGTGTGGTGAAAGATTTACTCTTTTTTTAGCTTTGTTTCCAAATTTCAAATTTATTTTTTTATTAAATTTTTGTTGTTTTTAGTATATTTCCCAAAGAATTCCTTGCAAACTTTATATTTCAATTTGATTCACCTTATTTAATACTCTGAAAAATTGGGGACCATTTAAAATTTAAAAAATTAGGTTTCAAATCCCATTTTTTCAAAGTAAAGGGCTATGTGAATTTACGGTTCAAATATGTTAAGAATTTTTTCGGGAATTAGCATCACATAGTTAGTAACATTCTCCCTATAAATAAAGATTAAGATTTATAATTAGATTCAAGAGGTATGTTTTGAATTTCATATTTAATTGTTATTCATCCCAATTTAATTGTGCATATTCTATTCATATTGTTCCTTAGTATATAGAATTTGCTACATATAGTTTGCTCCATAAACTCATATGCAATTTTTAGAATCTCTCTTTGCATTCTTCCTCAATTCGAGCATTTCTTATTCATGTGTTAATTCAAGTATGTTGTTTTAAAAAATCAAGTTTGTTTATCTTCCTTCACACAGAAACATAGGAAAAAGTGTCGAGTTCAGAGTATTATATTTGATTTATTGAAGAGTTTTGTTTTAGAGTTTGACTTACACCATGTAAGAGTGGATAGTAGTAGATGATAAGACTACACCATGTAAGAGTGGATAGTAATAGATGATTTTATGGGTTTATCTACAAATACTTTTATTTGGTTTAGCGGTTTAGCCTAAAAGCTTAAATATATGTCTAGGTTCAAATGTATTGGTCAATGATAAGTTTAAAATTCAATAAATTTCAGTAAAATGGTCTTTTGTTGTATATTACGTTCTATAACTATTATTCTATATAATATAGCTTTTGTTTATAAATTTTTCTGTGATGGATCGTACCTACATATATAAAAATAATAAAGAGAATATGAATAAATAACAGAAACTTTAGTATTAAAAATTTGAAGTCATGTTTGTGGGCACAAATTTTGTAAAAAAATTATGATCCCACTTGAAGGGAAGGAAATTTTAGCCTATTTCTAAGTAAATTTATACCACCACGTTAAAGAAAGATATAAAAAAAATTTAACAAATAAATTTTTTCCAATATATAATGTAATTTTTCTTTTATACTCCATCAAATTTTTTCCATTGTGACTACAAAAAAGACAGACTGGATGAATATTTCGGGATAAGGTAATACCTAAATTTTAATTTAAAATTGGGATTGATAAAAAATATCTTATAAAAATGATACCACCTACCAAAGTCATGATCAGCTTTACGTTGTTTCTCAATAAATACATGATTAAAAATATTATTTATAGATGACAATAACACACAAGTAGTATAGCTTGAAGTCTTTCAAAAAAATTAGGAAATAAAAAACACTTAGTTAAGTAGACCCTCAATTACTCGAATATTTATTTTACATTAGTGTTCGTGTTTATCTTACTAAAACTCCTACTATAAATGTTTTTTATTCTAGAAAATATATTGCAATGAAAAATTTTTTAAAATTGACAAAAAAATTGTTTGACCCCGTGCGTGGCACGGGTCAAAAAACTAGTTGGATAAATATTCCGGAATGGATATAATATTCAAAAAATAAGCCCAATATGTAATATTCAGCCCAAAAATATAACGGTGCATCTCAGTTAAATTCTTTATATTTGGCCCAATATCAGCCCATAAGTATAAGACGACTATAGCCTTTTTGTCTAACCCTACATGTGTCTCGTTTCTCACTCTCCTCTTCATTTCCGTCTGCAGCTCATTTCTCACTGAACTGCCTCATCTCACATCTTTGTCTTCTTTCTTGCGATCTCGATTTTAATTATTTATCAAAGAGTTGCAGGTCATGCATTATTTATTTTCTATATTTTGCATTATTACACTTTGTTTTCATTCGGTGTTGATTTTTTTAGGGGTTGCTAAATGCAACCTAAGTTCCTCATATTTTCATGCGAATTTATTTTAAAACACTATTAGATCTTAAAGATTTGTAATTTCATCAATTACTTTGTAGTCGATGTTCTGTTTTTACATTATTTTTTCATTCGGCAATGAGTTTTTTTTTTAAAACCTCAGTACATGCAACCTCGGATCTTCATGGGAATATTTTTTTTAAACACTCTTAGATGTTATGGATCTGTATTTTTATCAATTAATAAGACACCGATTTGTGTTATTACAATTTTTTCATTTCGTAATTAAATTTTTTTTATGTAATTGATAGATTCAGCTTCAGATCTCATCGAAATATATTTTTAAACACCCTCATATCTTCTATTTTTGATATCCTTAAATCCGAGAAGAGTAGCCATTAATTTAGTTCTAAAATATATCGCCATCTACATTTTTGCAATTTCTGGGTTAAGAAAACTCAAATTTTCGTTGATTGACTATTTTTTGCGTCTTTATTTGTTTTTTCAATTTTGTGAATATTTTGAAAAGCTTTTGAAAATTTTGAAAATTTTATTTTTCACATTACTTATTCTTTTCACATATAAAAGTTGTAATTTTAAATTTTCTCAAAATATGACAATTTTAGAAAAGTAAATATTAGGATATCAAACCTAATGCTTCTTGGGTAACAGATTCTTGTGTTTGGCCAAATGAGAATCAATCGCTTGATGAGCCATATAATTATTTATCAAGTTCATGAATCGATCAGCCCAGGTAATTAATATTTTTTTATCCACTCGTGTAACTACTTTTTTTATGTTTCTGTGTACATTATAATTTCATACATAAATAACATATACATTTTCCAAATTAAAAATTAATTTTTTTAAATTAATACACAATCCACATAAGTTAAAACTAAAAAAGAATAGCCATTGCAATTACAAAACTTATACGACATAAAATTATTAAAGATATGTTACCTTTATTTGATTCTTCATTTACTTTTTTAGAAGATTTGTTCCACTCTTTGTTAGTTTCTTCATTCCCAATTTCATTCCATTTTTCATTTATAAACTACCTTATTATTTTTAATTCTTGCCATCACATTTTTTAAGGTAATAATGTATTGTTTATTCCTTAATTAATTTTAATATTTAAAAAAAGTAAACATAATAGGTGTTGCATTACTTAATTTCAACCCTACTCCCAAAATGAAACTAATTTGTCTTCTCAAAATCTATTTAATATGAGGTTAATTGTTTTATTCATTATCCTCAAACATGGGTAAATAAACATTCATGTTCTAAAAGCTAACACAAAACCACCCAAAACTTTTTTTGACTCACAAATAACTCTTATTTTAATTTAGTATTCTAGATTTTAAATATTACTTTTTCTATTGTTATAAATGTGAATATAGCACACATATTGAATCTTAAATGGGGTAACATTTTTTCATTGCCAAACAACCACATTATTTTGGAATCATAACAATTTGCTTCTTGGAGGTAATAATGATGTGTTTAGTACTCATAATTTTATCCAAAATGTGTATATTGAGTAAGAGCTTATCTTTAACATATCTATCAGTAAGAGTTCACGCCTCCAATCACTTTTAATTTTTTCATGTGTTCATAAAAACCTTTTTTGAATTGAATTATATCTTCTCAAAGAAGACCCACTTTGAAGTTAAAATAATTAGTTTTTTTAGTGAGTAGATATATGTGGATGTAGAAGTGCATAATAACATAGATTCATTTCATTATAATATAACATATAGCATATTCAGTAAACATAAATTATAAAGATATTTACCTTTGCATGGATTCCACTTTCCCTATTGAAAAAGGTACATCAACATAGATATTTAAATGATCCTTGGTTGGGATATATTCAAACATTTTTCAAACCAAAAAAAAAATGAAATTTTACACTACAAAACAATTCAAGTACCACTATATCATGAAAAATCATATCCATCGTATTCTCTCCTCCTCGAGACTTGTTACACTCGAACAGTATACATACGAAGTGCCCAATCTTTGCCCTTCCTCCTTGCTTTTGTCAACTTCCTTAAGGAATGACCACCTTCCGACTTTGACCTTGGGTGGGCTGTTACTTCCCATCCTAGCAATTTGGTCAAATAACAACTGCAGAATGTACTATAAATTTTTCTTGTGCTTTGTGGTGAACTCTGTTGGGTTTGATGTGTGAAGCTTCAATTTATAAGGGTCTTAAACAGGGTGTAATGAAGATGTAGGTAGACGTGGGAGGCATTAGTGGGAAAATTAGTGGGGTAGTTAGTGGAGAAGAGTGGTTACCAACGTGCAAATGATGGTGCATTAGTGATTTAGTGGACTGCAACATTGTTGATTTTTTTGGTATTTATGGTTACCCTCATACTTATTATTATTATTATTATTATTATTATTATTATTATTTTTTTTTTTTTTTTTGACTCTTCTAAGTGCAGGGGTTACATCGGTATGAAATGATGGTGTGCTTTGGATACTCAAGCATATTTTCCGTTTTTTACAGTGACTTTGATAATTATTGTAGTTATTATTATTATTATTATTATTATTACTAAAAGGAAAAAACAATCTTAAACAATCTTATTCTCGGTTGTTCAACTTGCATTTTTAAATGTTAATTTTTAATTTATTAATGGCAGTTGAGAAGATTTAAAATAACATTATCCAATATTTATTAAACTTGAGGTGGGCCAAAAGATTTTACACCGTAATTCACTAAAAAAACAGACCCATTATTTCGTGAATAGGCCCAGATTTTTGGGGGGGAAATTTTTCTGTTGCTTATAAAGAGGTAGATTAAACAGGCCCAGGAGCTTAGTTATTGAAAAAAAATGGCTTTTTTACGAAAAAATTGAATAGGCCCAGAAAGTTGGAAATGCAAAAAAAAAAACAGCCCAAAGCTACAGTAATCGGCCCAAAACTTTAGGCGGGATTTTTTTCCTGCTGCTCTTGTAAATAGAAGGATAGTAGATTTTAAATATGTTAATTTTATTTTTAATTACAATCCAATTTAATATACTCCGTAATTTTTTACACTAAAAATATTACTCCCTCCGTCTGGAAATGATGTTCCCATTCTACTCTTTTTTCCGTCCGGAAATGATGTTCCCACTCTACTCTTTTTCTTTATTCTTCCAAAATTACCCTCCCTTCTTTCTTTCTTTTTCTTCCTTTCTTTTCTTCTCTCCTCTTTCCTCCCTTTTTTTTCTCCGCCGCCCCTTTTTCCTCATCCCCACCCCTTTCTTCTTCCTCCATCTATGTTATTCCTTTCTTCTTCCTCATCCCTGCAATCTTCTTCTTCCTCCTCTCTATAGTCTTTATTCTTCTTTATGTTCCCCTTCTTCTTTCTATTTCATCTTCCTTCTAGATCTAAGCGTATGTATGGCGGCGATGGAGATGGCGGTGGCCGGCGATGACGAGGTGGCGCCCGACGATGCCGATGGTGAGTCTGCTCTTCTTACTCTCTTTTTTTCTTTTCTTTCTTCTTTTCTGTCCCCCCACCCACCCACCCCCACCGCGCTATTCATCATCATCTTCTTCTTCTAGATCTATGCTAGATCTATGGGGCTGGCAGCGATGGCAGAGCAGGCGGCGGCGACAGTAGAGTAGATGGCAGTGGTGAGAGCTAGATTCGGATAGATTTGTATTAGATCTTTTTCTTCTCGTTTTGTTTCCCCTGGTTTTTCCCTTCCCTTATTGTGGTGAGTGGCTGAAGAAGAAGATGAGGATAGGGATGGCGAAGATGAAGTAGTTGGTGATGGCGTTGGGCGGCGGTGGAGCCGGAGCAGTGGGGAGTGGCGATAGGATGGGGCCGCGGTGGGCAGCGCAGAGATGGGCGGAGGTGGGTTGGGGCAGCTGTGGCTGGGGTGAGATAGTGGTGGGGGCAAAGCAATTCAATGAGGGCATTTTGGACATTTCAATATCATAGTCAGAAAAGACAGCCCAATCAACCATGGGCAACCCTAGCCGATTCTAGTTTTTTTCCTTCTCCGCCTCCCCAATCTCCCTCTCTCACTCTCTCTCTCTCTCTCTACACGACAATGCTATCTCTTCTGTTCTGCCTCTTTCACTTTCCATTTTCAATACATGATTTTGTTTATTTGTAGAATTATTGCTTTAACAACGGAAATATATTTACTTGTTTCAGATACTTTCATGTTTTTGGATCCGGATTGATTGTTCTGTGAATGAATTTTTCTATTTTATGTTATTATGGATTTTATCATCGGCTTGGGTAGACTGATTCTCACCGAATGGGACGTCTTCAAGCTCAACCCAGGATTGAGCTGGATAATAGGTTTATAAATATATATATATATATATATATATTCAGGTTTATATTTTGTTGGAGCAATCACAGATTGAGCTCGATAAATTTCTGTTAATGTATATATACACATTTTTTTTTAAAATTTATCAAGTGGTCTAAATTTTATTTCTTCCAATGTTCATAGATCTTGTTTTTGGTTAATAGATCTATGTGTGGAGTAGTAGTTTTTCATCGTTATACAAACGATTATCTTTATACTCGTTTCAAATTTTTTTGCATGCTATGATCTATCTTCCTAGGGTCCACCTCTGCAAGGTAATTAAGATTCTCTCTGGAGCGTTTGTTATTCTTTAAATTGTAATATATTGATTATGGCCATAATATTATTGATTTAAATGTAGGTGATGTTGTCTATTTAAAAGTTTGAAGAAGTGAGCCAGGAAAAAATATGAAGTTCTCTGATTTCATTATTCACAAGGGAAAAGGTAATCTTAATATTACATAGAATCTCAAGTTAATTGATTATATTGAATCATTTGACACCCTATTATAAATGTACTTTTTTATTGAAGTACTCTTTTTTTTAAAGTTAGGAATCTGATTTTGAATTATGAGTGTAAGTGTTAAATATAAAGGTTTTTCAAGGGTATAACTCAATTAGTCACTATCCATACGTTCCTGCGCATGACTATTTGTAAAATTGTTTATTTTAAAATTTTAATGGTCATATATACATTATTTTATGTTTTCAAAATTATTTAACAGTCCAGGACAGTGTTTTTTATGAACTAAACTGTATTTGATATGAAGTGATAAACATTTTATGTTAAAGTGTTCTATTTTGTAACACTGGTGTTTTCAAATCATTTTCCTTTTTAAGATTACACCTTGAAATTTGGTTTGTTATTTCTTAAAAGGGTTTTTTTACGATGACCAAGTCGTTAGATGAGTTTAGAAGTATTTTTTAAAATCAGAATCAAGATTATTGCAAAGACAAAAGCAAAAAATATAATCATATGAACTTATTTCACGATTTCAAAAAAATGTGTCTTGCACTGTTTTTTATGTACCAAACTGTATTGGATATGAAACTTTCAAATCGTTTCCTTTTTCACTTTACCCCTTCAAATTTAGTTGATTATTTCTTAAAAGGGATTCTTCATGTGAGCAATTTTTTAGGATCCAGATGCATTCTTTAAAAATAGAATGAAGAACATTGCAGTCAGAGGAAAAAATATATATTCATATAAGCTTAGTTTCATTTCATCATAATAATATATACATTGGGTAGATGCCATAGAGAACTTAAAAAGAAACTAAAACAGAACCAACATTTCTCCATTAGTAAAAGCATAGATACTGTAGACATTATAAGGTCTACATTATACTGTAGACAGCAAATAAAAAAAGCATAGATACTGTAGACATTATAAGGTCTACTTCAAGACAAATAGAATATATTAATATAGAGATAGTGAATATGCTCTAATTAAGCCTTAGTTGCCTTCTATCTCTCTGTGCCAGTATGAAGTCGATTGACTGTAATTAAACCTAAACCTTGGGAAAAGGTGGGAAGGGGTATGTCCGCCTCGTTTTCAAGTGTGAGATCCTTATACATGGTTTTTGAAGTTAAGCTCAAAACCCAGGGGCGCGATGTTGTCTTGTAGGACAAACTTTGGCGGTACACAGAAGTTGCGTCATGCATAGTGCTATCTTCTTTGCTTATTTTGGTAGATAGTAATGAAGTTCAGGGCTATTCACTTTGACATGAATTTTAGTTCCCTGTTAATAACAGAATCAATTTTTAGATAGATTACAAAAAAAATATTTTGAATGAATTACTCGTGCAATGAAATACATTTACCTCTTTATCATGAAAGACAATATCCAATGTTTTCATGCTTCCATCATGTTGTGGTACTTGGTAAACCCTCACAGCTTGTATGCGAAGTGCCCAATCTGTACAACTGTCGTTCACTTCGAAAAAACGACCACATCCCGACCCTGCCCTTGATGGGCCACTTCCCATTGTAAGACACTGCTCTCAACCTTGTCTGTGAGTTCCACAGGATTTTCAATGGAAGATCCCCACAGATGATTCTTATATACAAATCAATAATATCTCTGTTCACAAACGATCATTGTCGGTGTATTTGACTAGACTCTATTTGTGTTTCTCACAAATAATTTATACATACACACAATTATTATAATCATCTATAAATACAAATAATTATTATTCGTGTATGTATAAATCATATCTGTATTTCAGTTGGTTGCAACCACAATCTTCAATGGTCATTAATGTGATTCTTTCATTACGTAAATATTCGAATTTTGTCCGTTGGAACTAAAATTAACGCCATGTTAACTCCGTATGAAAATGATTAGTTCAAGTTTCACGGCTTAAAAGTTAAAACAGTTTAAATTTGGAAATGAAACATTAGGAAAATATAATGTAAATTCGATACCCTAAATAACTTCATGACATAAAATGTCCCTTTTTTATAATGTTTGTTTTAGAAAGATACTGAAAGCACTTTTCAATAATGTTTCGCTTGCCGGAAAAAGAAAGAGAGAAATTAATGTCTTCCAAACAAGCTTCTCATCAAGCTCCCTCTTTCCAAACGCTAGAGCAACTTCTTAGCTCCGGGGACCTCCATTTTCGAGAGCTTTTTTAGGTAGCCGATTGCCCCGTGCGGCACCATCAACCGCCTGCACCGCTTGCTCGTCGACATGATCACGAGGCATGACACCGCGTACTTCTTGGACGCTTTCTGCGGTTTCGGGTCCAAATTCGCCACCAAATTCAGCACGCTCCTCGCGTCCCGCTTCACCTTTCGGCATATCTACGGGACCCCGCATCAAGGCACTTGCCACCTCCGCGGCCACCTCCCTCGCCCCGTTCATTTTCGCCCCCAGCATCTCGACAAGAAGCGGGATGCATCCCGCTTCGCTGACCGCCAGTTTCATCGCGTCGCCCGATGTGCAGAGCTTGCATATCGACGACGCGGCGGCTTGCTCACCCCGGGCGGGCCTGATCAAAGCACCCGTGCTAGCTTCGGAAGGATGCCGAGGGAAACCATTTCGTCTATCGGGGCCCACTTGACCAAGTTCTTGACGGCCAAGACCGTGGATTCCCTGGGCGTGCCATGGCCGTCTAGGAAAGCCAGAAGGCTCCGAACCCCACCATTGGAGACGACGCATCTCTTGATGTCGTCGTTTCCGGCGATGAGATTTTGCAAGCACTCGGCGGCGTGGTTCTTCGTTCCGACCAGCGGGGCGAAGTCGAGGAGGTCGATCATGAGTTTGATCGCGCCCTCCTCGACAAGAACCTGCCGAACCTCCGGCACGACCGAGATGTTTTTCAAGGTACAAGCGGCGGCGGACTAAGTGACTGAATCCCATGCGCCGCACAAACCTCCGCCAGCAGCCTAACTCCGCCGCCTAGGCAGTCGGTACCGAGCTCAAAAGCCTCTGAAGAGACAGGGCGGATTTCTCTTTACCCAAATCTGTCCCGGATTCAACCAGCCGTATGAGCAGAGGAAGAACGCCTTCTTCCACCATCCACTTATCAAATCTCCCCGCCGCCGCGAGCGAGCAAACGACGGTGACTGCTTTCTCTCTAATCCTCGGAGAAGTGGCGGCGTTGAGGAGCTGGACCAGGGCCGTGACGCTGTTCCGACTAAGAGCCTCTAGAACCTTCTTCTCGTCCTCTTCCATGGCTTCCAGAAGGCAATCAAGAGCTTTGTGTTTATCCTCCAGGTGGCTTATTTGAAGCCGGGCGAAAAATTCCTCGCCGATTACGCCGCTCTTGATCTGAATCCGGCAATCCCGCAAATTCAAGTCCAGTTTTCCGGCAAGAAAATCCAAATCGCTCTGCATACGGAGCTTCCCGTCGTACCTCTCCCCGCAGCAGACCTCTGACAGCTCAATTGATTCCGACAGTGACCGGAAACCGACCAGAGTTGTTCTTTGAACAGGACATTCTTGGAGAAGCAGAGGTGCGTGGAGAGGTCGGACAACGTCAGAGAAACCTGTTCAAGTTTTGTCACGATCATCTTCCACCGGCCGGGGAATCCACGGACCTCTCTGGCCCTTCCCAGAGCTTCCGGGAGGAGCTGCCGGGCCCGCGACAGCCACTCCTCTGCTGACACAAAAGATATCTTTTTTATTTTTTTAATTTAATAATATTTTTTATTTATTATTTAAAAAACAAATGCTTATTTATGTAATAAGCATTTTATTTAAAAAACAAATGCTTTTTTATTTTTTATTTAAAAAATACTTATTTTACTCGTATGTAAGTCCAAGATGGATCTTAGATCCACCATAGAAATAAGAATGTGAATGAGTTTCAATATCTTCTTGAATTGCTTTAAATACTACCTCGATGTCGATCTCGACACTTAGATTCATTTGTCCAACCGGCGTCCTAAGCCACCTCAATGCCTCCTGGAGTCCTGTTGCTTCAGCCATTTGTGCATCTTCCAGTCGCCCTAGTCCGAAGTGAGCTCCTCGCAAAAAATTCCCCTGACCGCACCACCACTCCAACCCGGGCCACACTTGTACGTATGTTAAAGCTTGCATCCACATTGCACTTTAAGACCCCTCTCACCGGTGCTCTCATTTATGCATCCGGTCCCCCGACCCCAATCGGGCTTCTAAGGACCCCGAGACGTGCTGCCTGCCACTCTTGTAGTCCTCGAAAAGCTCTTTCTTCCACATAGGTCATGCTCAAGCTTCTGTTCTTTCAAACAAGTTGATTCCGTTGTTGCCACGCCTCCCATAAAACCATGCAAAGTTGTTGAACCCTTTCCTTTGTGTGTGTTGGGTGAACCTCCTCAAACCACTCAACCATACTCCTGTACTGTCGTATGCATACATAGCCCACTATGCCCAGGCATGCTTGGGCAAAAGTGCAGCCTATTGGGCAAAAGTGCAGCCTATTAAACTGTGGATAGTGGTCTCCTCATCGGTGCAACATCTAGGACACACATCTGCCACCTCCACATGACGCCTCTAAAGGTTGGCTCTTACAGGTGGGACATCATTGAGAGCTCGCCACATAAAGTTGCGAACTTTTGGCGGTACCTGCATTTTCCAAATAAATGCCCACATGTCGTTGTTAGTAGTTGTCCCTGTCCACCGCTCTTCGTACATCATTCGGTAGCCATGTTTCACTTAATACAATCCTTTGAGGTCATCTCTTGAGATCCATGCATCTTCTCGACTATATAGGCCCAATGGAATACGCGATATCTCTTGGACTTCCTCCACGCTAAACAGTGTTGGGAGTAAGTCCATATCCCATCTCCGAGTACCTAAATCGATAAAAGCTGACACCAAAACCTCGTTCAACTCCTCTGCAAGGCACGATCTTCCTTTCTCAAAAGCCAAGGTGTAGCCAGCAACTTTGTTGTTTCCCCATTCCCGATCCGTCGTACACAGCCCTTCTTTAGGATGCGTCGCCTTTCCAAAATAGATCGCCAATCGAAGCTGGAATAATGCCAACTTTATAAATATATATTTGAAATATTTGAACTAGATAACACTAAAACTTAAGTCAATCTCCCAAATAGTACTTAAATTGTTTAATTCCTTAAATAACACTTAATAATATACATAATGTCTACTACATATCCTAATAAATAATATTTGTAAAATAATTGAAACTTATTTCTCTCTCGGACTTCTCTCTCACTTTAGGCCTTGACTAGATGGCTGGAGTCGAAGAACAGGTGTCCAATATTCGAGAAGAAGGTCGTTGATGGAATCAAAAAGGTCACAGGAATGTCCAAAAAATTTCGGAGGCTCACAAGGTTAGGATAATGTCCCCTTTTGCGTATACCAAAATAAAAATCCGAATAGAAAAAAATGTATCTTTGCCATAATGCCATTCAATGCACACACAAAAATACACCCACATGCAAAATATTTTTATCAAAATATTTGCATGTGGGTGTATTTTTGTGTGTGCATTGAATGGCAAAGATACAATTTTTTTCTATTCGGATTTTTATTTTGGTATACGCAAAAGGGGACATTATCCTAACCTTGTGAGCCTCCGAAATTCTTTGGACATTCCTGTGACCTTTTCGATTCTGTCAACGACCTTCTTCTCGAATATTGGAGGCGTGTTCTTCGACTCCAGCCATCTGGTCAAGGCCTAGAGTGAGAGAGAGAGAGTCCGAGAGAGAGATAAGTTTCAATTATTTTACAAATATTATTTATTAAGATATGCAGTAGCTAGGTTTTAATAAGATGTGAAAGAAAAATTATATTAATTAAAGAAAGAACTCACCATTGATTTCTTGAAGTTTTGTACACTCATCCATGACCCCCCAAACAAATCTCTTTTTTTATATTCTTTAGAGCAGATAGATCCCGAGATTTTTAGTCCCGGTCGGGGAAAGAGTTCGCGCCGGCGACTGAGACTGCGATGAAGAGGATTGCGCCGTCGACTCAGGCTGCGATGAAGAGGTTTGCGCCGCCGACCGAGACGCGGGAGAGGGAGAGGTTTGGGGGCCGATGGATTGAGGGAAGGACGTCCCGACATAGTTGTTGGGGAGTTGGATGGAACTATGGAAGAAGAAGAATAGGAGGCGGTGGCGGTAGGGTTTTACTGAGTGTGAAGAGGAGTGAGGAGGAGGCGGGAGATAGGTTTTACTGAGTGGTCTTACTTTTACCTTGATCCAGAAGCCAGCACTTCCAAAGATTTACTCCCCTCTCTTTCTAAAAGAATGCCTTTGACTTTTTTCGTCAATATTGTAAATTATGAAAAATATATACACATTATGAATATTATTAAGTGTTATTTAAGGAATAAAACAATTTAAGTACTATTTGGTGAGGGCATTCTAGCCTAGCAGTGACGAGGCTCTTGTCCTGAAAAAGAAAAAAAGCTGGAAGCCCTGTGGTAGAGAAGGAGGTTAATTTGATCGATGTCTTTGAATCCGTGCCACATATTGTACCTTCCGACAAAGTCAAATGAAGGCAACGAATGATAATCTTAGAGATTTTTTTTGTGTGAATGTAGTGGGTAGTGAAACTGTAGTTAGTTTTTGCAACAATTCTTATGTTGTTTCCAACTTTAATTATTATTACTTTGCATTTTTGGTTTTGCTATGCTTTATTATTAACATGTATGTACAAATTGTGGTCCATCTCAATGCTGACAAGAACCTCCTTACTTCAAGCACGTATTATATACTCCCTCCGTCCCTTTGTATTTGTCCACTATCATTTTTACACACCATCCAATGCACTTATTTAATCCATTTTATCTTGTAATTTGTATATTAAAAAATTATAGAAATTATATATTAATAATCCATATGTTAAGACAAATCAAACAAGATCACACATGACTATATTTAGAAGATGTTTGGCAGTGCACTGCTTTTAACAATTTAGCTTCTGCTTTAAGTGAAAGTGATTTTACTCTGTTTGGCATGTCAGCTTCTGCTTTTCACCAACATTCTTTTGTGCATAGAACACCGTTTCGGAGAAGCAGGTATGAGGTGCTTTTGCTTTCAGCTTTTGTAGAAATTACTTTATGCTAATCACTCCCAAACACCCTCTTAGGCTTACACATTGAGAGAATGTGATGAGTCAAAGTGCTTAGATAAACAGTTCCAAAGTCAAATGTTGACAAACACAGAGGGACGGAGAGAGTATATGATTTGGTGTTGAGGAATCATCAAGTGTCCGGCTATTATAACTTGTGTGATTGACTTCGATCATTTTGAGGGTGCGGGTAGATTGGTCATTTTGGTTATTTAATTGAGTAAACGCAAGTTTCGCCGGTCCTACCAACACCAAGAAGAGAACCAATCGGCCAAGAAGTGAATCCTCAAATCCCCAACCTCAATTATCTGAAAATTCGAGGTAATGCTTATACTCTTAATCCTTCTATTTTCTTTGAAGATGAGGAAACATTAGAGTCTTTCACAAAACTCTTTCTTCCTGGCAAGGTTATTTCACCCCGTTATGTTGATCTCTTTGAATTTGAAAAAGATGAATCTTTTGCACCGTATTTGTCTAGAGGTGTGCAAGGCGTCTAACAAATAATGGCAAAATTGAAATTGAGTTGAAATAGCGTTACATTATGAAAAAATTTTGTACACTATTACTCTATGTAGCTTTTATATAATGTCAATTTAACTATGGAAATTCATTATAGCTTTTAAAAATTTTACGTTTGACAGAAAGAAAGAAATTATATACCATACATTACTATCATTCACAGAAGAAATACCTTATGGAAATGATGTACAACAATACACTATTGCCTTTTACATGGGGAAAAGAATTAATATATCACTTCCAATGTTGTAAATTTCTGGGAATAAACTGAAGTTTATATAAACTTTTTTTTATATTTACTTTCTTGTTTAGAAAGACATTGTCCGTTTCAATTTCACTCTTTCCATGGAGAAAACATATTCCTTTTCCAATTGCTTTTGATATAGAGCCTACTTTTAATTTTCTTAGTTGTATATGGTAAAATAAAATTATTACTCCATATTTTTTTTAGCAGTTTTCACACCCAATTCACCAAAACCAATTGTTCGCATGGTACATTTTCATATGCAGTAGAGGCATCACTGTTTGTTTAGAAATTTGTGGCGTTTGATTTAGTAATGACTGTTTAGAATTTTTTCTGAGAAACTACAGCCCATTTGTTTCTTTTGTTTTATTTAATGTTTTAAGAACTTTATTTCTCCTTGCTTTTGAATTTGAAATGTTACAGATCTGGTTAGGTTTTGGACAAAGTAACAAGGGGACTGGTTTGGCCTGCAAATATGAAGTGAATATAGAGGCTGGTGTTTTTATGGAGACAATAGATATATATGTTGCTTTTGCAAATGGTTGGGCATATTTCTTAAGGGTCTTTCCATGGATACGTTTATTGGTTGTTCGAAGACAACACTTTGCTGAAAACTATGAGTTTGAGAGGTTTGTTTTGGGTTTGATTTGAGATATGGATTTGGACAGTTACTGTTGGAAAATCAGCTTGGGTTATGGCCAACTGCTTTCTAATTTGAAGGCAGATCAATTTGAAAGCAGATTCTTAGGAAGATAGGTTAGGCAGATTAGCTTCCTGGTTGAGCTGATCTGTTGTGGCTTTTTGTTTCATAACAAGGGAACACTGTTAGGTTGCTATGTGCTTTGATTATTTGGTCTGCTGTCTGCACTTAAGAAGGAAATACTTGAACATCGTAATTTTAGCTTGGGTGCGTCTTTGACTTTGAACCAAACATGTGGTTGGACCCATGTTTTTTTTAAAATATATGGCTGATATAATATCAATTTTTGTGAATGTGCTCTATTATATCTATTGATTTTTAGTTCTGTTGTTGTTAGCTACATGATTTATTTAAGAAAAAATAATGACTTTTCACATGGATAATGTTATATCAAAGTATATTAAATGTTCAGATGAGTCACTAAATGATCAGGTGGTTAATGTATTTTGTTTTCCCCTATTGTGGTTGTTCTGCAAAATATGGCCGTGCTGCTGAAATCTGAGAGCCAACTCTTTGTGCTCTTGATTGTTGTTTCTTTTGGTAGTTTCTTCCATTCAAAAAGTTTCAGTTTAAGTCTATGAAAGGTATAGACTATGCTAGATCTACCTCTTTTATATTCTCTATCAATGAATGAACCATAGTCACAGAATTCGCTCCCAGAGCTGCGACTTCCGTATTGGTCCGATTCGTACCCAATCACAAGTCGCTTGCGATCCGATCGCAACCGGTACGGTGATCCAAATCGCGATGGTACGACGCTCCCAATCGCGATGGTACGACGATCCAAATACCCAGGTACATCGCACCCATCGCCGGTGGTACAGCGTACTAGTGGCGACTTCCTCTTCCCAGCAAAGCAACGTCGACTTCCTCTTCCCAGTTTGCCTCTTTCCCTTTTCAACGATTTCTCTTTCCCAAGTCTTTGTAAATTGAATATGTTCCACTTCCCAGGCACGCTCCACTTTCCCAATTAAATATTTCTCTTTCCCATTCTCATCATTTCATATTTAATTTAAAATTCAATTCACAATTAAATATTATACTTATTTTTATCTACTTTTGTTTACTTATGTTTTCACTTTTGGTACGCCGAACCGAATACATGGTACACTGTACCGCTTCGTACCGAATTCGTTACCTCTAGCGAATTTCTTACCCGTACCGCGTACCCGTACCGAAACGTACCGCGATTTATGTGACTATGGAATGAACTGAACCCATCTAAATTAGCATTATCTAAGTAATTAAGTCTATTATTGTTGAATGTCTTAGGCCGTAGATGTTTGCAAAATATAATAGTTTAGAAACAAATTTGGAAACAAAAGTATCATTTACTTGATAGAGTTATCTGTATATCTGTCTCATACATACAGGTCTTATTTGCAAAGAGGAGTTTATTGCTGAAGAAGGCAAATGAGCTTTCTACCCTTTGTGATGGTGAGGTTGTTTTAATCATCTTCAATGGGAGAAACATCTATGAATTTTGTAGCAGGTTAATGTACTACTCCCTCCGTCCCCCAGTTTTTGTCCACATTTGATTTTTGAAACTGTTCATCTAAGCACTTTGACTCATCAAATTCTCTCAATGTGTAAGCCTAAATATAGTCATGTATGATCTTGTTTGATTTGTCTTAACATATAGATTATTAATATATAATTTCTATAATTTTTTAATATACAAATAACAAGATAAAATGGATTAAAGAAGTGCATTGGATGGTGTGCAAAAATGAAAGTGGACAAAAACTGGGGGACAGAGAGAGTATTATTTATATATTTTTATTTATATTAATTTATTTATTCTTGATTATTAAATCAGATCTTGAAATCCTTTTTATTAAAGAATTTGTTGGTTTTGTTTTGGGGATTAGATCATACCATTTTTCAGCAGCCAACAGTTGTCCAGGTTCTTCCATTTCCATCTGATGCTTGTAGCCATGTCAGGGCATGGGAGCAAACTTCCACAGGTGAAAATTTAATCGATTTGCGTGTTGATCTGAAAATTTATCTTGAACCATTCAGTTAAGCACATTGTCTCTATATTATATAATTCAATTGTTTAAGGACAGCAATGGCCTTTAAGAAATGTTATACATACAACTCTTCATATTCCCCACATGTAAGCTTGATTCAAAGTCATCTTCATTACATAGATACGAGATTAATCTTCTTTTCATAATGCTATTACCTATGATAACACGTTATTGCTTTTTGATCCATTGTTATTTATTATGATTTGCAAGTTTTTTTAAACCTATCATCTTGGGTATGGGTTTTTATATGTCATGAAAGGTTGCAGATTCAAAAATTAAGGGTTTGCTTGAGTTTGCTATGTGTCATTATGGGCAAGAAATTATTAGCTTATCCTTTGCTTGGCATGTTATTTGTCTAAATCTTCATAGCCATTTGTTGTTGCCTGCACCTATCTCAATAGCCATTCTACTTTGCATGACATTAAAGCAAATCTCATTTATGTTTTTTTAAACACTCTTACATTTCATGGCTTTGCCCTTCACCTATAAATAAATTTATAAAACTACATTATGGACGCTGGTTATAAAACTTGCCTGATTACAATTTCACAAGATTTAATTATAGCCCTGTTTGAAATACAGTTCGGATCTCTTTTGTTTGACATATGAAATTGAATAACAAAATAGAGAAGTGAATCATCTTTTTGTTCAAGGTACAAAGGAGTTACACCGCTCCAATGTGGAAAACGGGAGGCTAGATTGGGTCAATTCCTTGGGAAGAAGTAAGATGTTATTTCCTTCGTTGTCATCATAATATCCTACAGTTTATAAGCTTTTAAATAATGCATGTTCTTATTAGTTAGCTTTTCATCTGCATTTTTTGTTTTCCAATGTTTTCACTGTCCATATTTTTTGCTTTCCAATGTTTACAATTTTTTGTTCTCTTTCATTTTTCATAGGCCAATGATGAAGCTACCCTATCGGTCATCAGAATCTTGCAACCTGCAAATCCATCTGCTTTATTTTTACCCTATCAATCCCATTTGGTGGATTCAAGCCTCAAAAGCCATGATGGACTTGCCTGTGATATTAAATTTTACAGCAACACAAACTCACAAAGGATTCAACATTGTTAGGGTAACACCAATAACTGGCTATGTGAACACNTTTTTGTTCTCTTTCATTTTTCATAGGCCAATGATGAAGCTACCCTATCGGTCATCAGAATCTTGCAACCTGCAAATCCATCTGCTTTATTTTTACCCTATCAATCCCATTTGGTGGATTCAAGCCTCAAAAGCCATGATGGACTTGCCTGTGATATTAAATTTTACAGCAACACAAACTCACAAAGGATTCAACATTGTTAGGGTAACACCAATAACTGGCTATGTGAACACTTGAAATGTTAGTGTAGGTCTCTTTAGCTTCTTAGGGCAACACCCATATGCTTTAAGTTGTAAAGATGCCTCTCTATTTCACCGTTTAGATAGTGAGGCATCAAATTCTTATCTCATTTCACTCAACTCAGCTCAAATTTTACCTTATACAAATGTTCTGCCCCTACACACACCTAACATACAATAACAAACTACAAATATTACTTGCACATAACCCAAGCCCGGGTAGTTATTACTATATGAAGTGATTCCAATTGCTTTTGATAGTGTTTCCTACTCTTTTTTTTTTGTATTTCTTTCAAAAGTAATCCCAAAAAATATCAATTAAATTTGAATTTTCTTAGTTGGATGTGGCATAATTAATTATATCTCGTATATAAATAAAATGCACAATTTTCTTTAAAAAACTCAAGCATAAATAATACTCCCTCCGTCCCATTTTAAATTGCCTGTTTGCTTTTTTTTTCCGTTCCAAAATAAGTTGCTTGTTAGGTGTTTTCGTAAACTTTTAAAAATAAAATATCTAAACTACCTCTAAAATAAGTCACTCTTTTTCACCTTATCTTTTTATTCTTCATCACCCCTTCTAAAAAGTAATGACAATTTTAGAAAATTAACTCTATTTTTTATTTTTCTTAAATATGCCCAAAAGTCAAAACAGGCGATTTAAATTAGGACGGAGGGAGTATAGTGTTTTATTTGTGGACGGAGGGAGTAATTTATAAAAAAAGTTTTCAAAATTTCTAAGTCATAAGATATTCATGTTTTTAAAATAATGAAAAACCTTATATTTCATCATATGGTCTAAATTTTTATTTCAATAATAACACCAATATATATTCATAACGTAAATATGAGTCATGCAACACACAGATGTGATACTAGTTACCTCTCTATTTTATGTTAAATTGCATCCTCGATAATGCATTGCGTTAATTAATACTTCATTTCTCATTGAACATCATGCTTTCCTATTTTCAGTTGTCATAGTAAGTTATCATTTTAATTAAAAAAGAAGTGAGTAGTTTATATTACTGCACAAGTTCACATTAAAGGGATGGAGTAATGGTGACTATAATTGTCTCCTAACATGTATAGTCTCTAATTGTCAAGAATCGAAATCAAGTTTACTTAACCAATTCATTAGTTGTTAATAATGAATTCTGTTAAACCTCTTTTAGCACCTCTCTTTAACTTGTGTCACGCCTCTTACAATTAATACTCATGTTAAATTAAAGGATTATGTTACAGTCAGACCAGGATTCATACTAAGATTGTAGATCTTTTGATGTACGTAGTATTTTAATATGTAACTTTTATTTTTTAACTCTGTACCATTTGTCATATAAAATGATTTGAAAATAATTTCAGTTAAACAGCGTAAACTGAAAGAAACAATATAAATTGGAACGGAGGGAGTATTTGCTTTTAAAATGAAAAATGGAAACATATTATATTTTATACACGACTCTCTATAGTATCAACATCCTCATCCCTTCAATTAAAATACTCCCTTTCCGTGAATTAATTGTCTTAATTTAACTTTAAAAATTGAAGAATTTTTTTTAAAAAAATGTTTAGAGTAAGGGGGTTATGAATAGAACATTAAAAATATAGCAAAATAAAAGTTCTATGTTTTTATTTTTCAAAATAGGAGTTAAAATACAATTACATTACCAAAAACTATAGTAATATGCACATGTACGGTGTCACATTATCACAGTGTGAACTTGTATTTAAAGAATAAAAACATAGAACATCTATTTTGGTACTTTCTCTATATTTTACTCTTATTTAGCATGATTTCTTACATATTGATTGGTGAAACTTTATTTAGGAAGAAAAAGAAAGATGGTGTATTATGAACTTTTCCATACATTTAGAAAAGTGAAATTCCTACTACTCAATCTAAAAAAAAGTTCACATATTCTTCACTCTGTTAAAAAAAATTACGGAGTAATTATTTTGGAACAAATTCAAAAGCCACATTTTTTTTAAAAATAAAATTTACAAAAGGCCAAAACATTGACGGTGTATTTGACTAGACTCGATTTGTGTTTCTCACAAATAATTTATACATACACACAATTATTATAATCATCTATAAATACAAATAATTATTATTCGTGTATGTATAAATCATATCTGTATTTCGGTTGGTTGCAACCACAATCTTCAATGGTCATTAATGTGATTCGTTCATTACGTAAATATTCGAATTTTGTCCGTTGGAACTAAAATTAACGCCATGTTAACACCGTATGAAAATGATTAGTTCAAATTTCACGGCTTAAAAGTTAAAACAGTTTAAATTTGGAAATGAAACACTAGGAAAATATAATGTACATTCGATACCCCAAATAACTTCATGACATAAAATGTCCCTTTTTTATAATGTTTGTTTCAGAAAGATACTGAAAGCACTTTTCAATAATGTTTCGCTTGCCGGAAAAAGAAAGAGAAATTAATGTCTTCCAAACAAGCTTCTCATCAACCTCCCTCTTTCCAAACGCTCGAGCAACTTCTTAGCTCCGGGGACCTCCATTTCCGAGAGCTTTTTCAGGTAGCCGATTGCCCCGTGTGCCACCATCAACCGCCTGCACCGCTTGCTCGTCGACAAGATCACGAGGCACGACACCGCGTACTTCTTGGCCGCGTTCTGCGGGTTCGGGTCCAAATTCGCCACCAAATTCGGCACGCTCCTCGCATCCCGCTTCACCTCCCGGCATATCTGCGGGACCCGCATCAAGGCGCTTGCCGCCTCCGCGGCCACCTCCCTCGCCCCGTTTGTTTTCGCCCCCAGCATCTCGACGAGAAGCGGGACGCATCCCGCTTCGCTGACCGCCAGCTTCATCGCGTCGCCCAATGTGCAGAGCTTGCATATCGACGACGCGACGGCTTGTTGGGCCCCGGGCAGGCCCGACCGAAGCACACGTGCTAGCTTCGGAAGGATGCCGAGGGAAACCAACTCGTCGGTCGGGGCCCACCTGACCAAGTTCCTGACGGCCAAGACCGTGGATTCCCTGGGCGTGCCATGGCCGTCTAGGAAAGCCAGAAGGCTCCGAACCCCACCATCGGAGACGACGCGTCTCTTGATGTCGTCGTTTCCGGCGGTGAGGTTCTGCAAGCACTCGGCGGCGTGGTTCTTCGTTCCGACCAGCGGGGCGAAGTCGAGGAGGTCGATCATGAGTTTGATCGCGCCCTCCTCGACGAGAACCTGCCGAACCTCCGGCACGACCGAGATGTTTTTCAAGGTACAAGCGGCGGCGGACTGAGTGACTGAATCCCCCGCCGCCGCACAAACCTCCGCCAGCGGCCTAACTCCGCCGTGCCCGACGATCGCCCGGGCAGTCGGTACCGAGCTCGAAAGCCTCTGAAGAGACAGGGCGGATTTCTCTTTACCCAAATCTGTCCCGGATTCAACCAGCCGTATGAGCGGAGGAAGAACGCCTTCTTCCACCATCCACTTATCGAATCTCCCCGCCGCCGCGAGCGAGCAAACGACGGTGACTGCTTTCTCTCTAATCCTCGGAGAAGTGGCGGCGGTGAGGAGCTGGACTAGGGCCGTGACGCTGTTCCGACCAAGAGCCTCTAGAACCTTCTTCTCGTCCTCTTCCATGGCTTCCAGAAGGCAATCAAGAGCTTTGTGTTTATCCTCCAGGTGGCCGATCTGAAGCCGGGCGAGAAATTCCTCGCCGATGACGCCGGTCTTGATCAGAATCCGGCAATCCCGCAGGTTCAAATCAAGTTTCCCGGCGAGAAAATCCAAATCGCTCTGCATACGGAGCTTCCCGTCGTACCTCTCCCCGCAGCAGACCTCCGACAACTCAATTGATTCCGACAGTGACCGGAAAACCGACCGGAGCTGTTCTTTAAACAGGACATTCTTGGAGAAGCAGGGGTGCGTGGAGAGGTCGGACAGCGTCGGAGAAACCTGTTCAAGTTTCGTCACGATCATCTTCCACCGGCCGGGGAATCCCCGGACCTCTCTGGCCCTTTCCAGAGCTTCCGGGAGGAGCTGCCGGGCCCGCGACAGCCACTCCTCTGCTGACACGTCATCATCGGCGGTCAGCATCGTCTTCCTCTTCCCGTCGTCTTCAACCATTCTTCAGAGCTTTTTTACCGGGATAGATTTCAGTAGAATTCAGGAGATTTCTGCAACAAAGAACAATATGGAATTTTTCTTGAAAATGAAATCTTTGGAGCTTTTTCAATCAAGAACTGTTTGAGCCATTAAAGGGCAATAAAGGAAAGGAAGGGGCCAAAAGAGGGAGCTTTTCTCAAAATTTCACATCATCATATAATCCAAATTGTCAATAAATTCATAGAAAAAGACTTAACAATGAAAATGCCTCCTAGAATCCTAGACACTAAAAAAACACCCTCCCCCAAACCGGCCGGTTCAGTTCACCTGTTTTGACCTGTTTGTCCATTGGACCAATCTTTGGACTGATTTTTATGACAGATTAGCAAACAATTCAATTAGAAACTCCCACAGCCAATTCAACTATGAAAGCAGCGGTAAAAACTTTTACCATAACTGTAAAGCTCAAATTTTTTACGTATGGAATCCTCAGCAGACAGGTAAATCAAACATACAAAAGTAGGCAATATTTATACATCACAAGAATTGGGAATTTTAGTCATCTACTACATAAAGTTCTTACCTTTGCGGTTCAGTTACAGACTTAAATTCATCTATATGTATACACTTTTTTTAAAAGAAAAGTACTGTCATATTTTAAAATCCAATTTCGACCATTAAAGTATTTAGTACTGCATACAAGTGGCATTAATTTGTTATTTGTCCAAGGTGTTGAAAAATGAAGTCTTTGCTTTGAAGAGAGAGTCGCACCATTTTTTTAAAAAATAAAAAAACAGACAAATATGAATGGAAGTAGAGAATTGAGTTTTGTACCTCAAAGTTTTCTGGGATTCAAAGACATCCAAAGCTTCTTCAATGGCTTCTGGGACTCTCCCAAAGCTGACTGTTTCAACAAGCAAACAATCACAATCTGCACCAAATTGCAGCCGAAACAGTGACAGACCACCAACTGGTTGTCAAGACTTTCAAGAATGGCCTCAAACTCTGAGAAAAAACAACCAAGAACTGTTTGATTGGGCTAAAAATTGAATCTTTGAACCAAAAATTTCAAGAATTTCGAAGAAACACCCAGAAAGTGTGATGGAAATTACCTGGGA